AATGATTTGTTGGGTTTTCCCAAGTCCAAATAATTATGACGTCTGGCAAGGCTATTTTAATTTTTTTTTCTGGGACGCCTGAATAGCCTTGCAAGACGTCATTTCCCCCACCATCGACATCGTCCTGTGGAAGAAACGAGTTTGGCGCATTAACAAAATGATCATGTCCGTAGTGACAAGTTAGTGTATGTGTTTACCAATATTTGAATTTTATGAGTCTTCTTTTTGAATATTTTCTTCATTTTTTGGTACAAATTATACTGATGTCGAGTGCTGTTTATTTTTTACAAAAGCGATCAAGTAATGCAGGGGAAGGACACTTACTTAAAAGACCAAAATGAGCCGCAACTAATAGGTACATAAATATTTTACTATGCAGTCAGTATCCCGATATACATGTTTATACTCTTAGACTCATTTCACAGCGTACAAGTGAAAATACTCGTTAGTCATGAACATTTTAGATCACTTTAAATTTAGATTTTATAACTTAAATTACGAAAGATGATAATTTGTCAAATGAGCCCTTGTAACCAGGTGCTGCATTTTTTAGCACGCGTCAAAAACAGTTAAAAATGTCGGGATCTGACAGAGCTTTCAAGAGCTATTTCTGTTACTGTGAGTTTATTATATATTTATCACAAAAAGCTAATGCTAATTTCTTTTCTTTAAATATGAACCCCCACCCCCCAAAAAAAACCCTCCTCCAGCTTATCTGATTAATTCACGATCACTCTGAGTAAAGAAAGTCAGTCACAATTGCTTATATCAGGTATTTTAAATTCTGGTTGATAGTTGTCTCATCACCAATCATACTACATCTCCTTATTTTTTTTTACAATAAAGCTATATTTAGATGCGGTATAGTGATGAATGTGTAAACATGCAGCATTCTTGTAAATAATTGTTAAAATACAGCACAAAAGATGCATAATATATCAAACTCGAGTCAACGCCATTTCAAAAACTAAAAAAAAACAACAACAAAAAACCCCGACCAAATGACAAATAGTCTATAAAAACTAACTATAGCATACCAAATTATATAAGTTGTAAAGACTTGCATGCAACTAGGCTTATATATACAGTAGCTCTATGTTCTTATAGATCTCATAACATTACGATTAAAAGTCAGATTATGTGTGTGCAAGTTTATTAGAAAATTCAACGAGACACGTCCTAATCAGGTAAAATCCAAAATAACAATTTACAAATTCAGATCTACTGCCTGTTGTATATTGCTTACATGATTGTATATTGGCGAACGAATAGATATGTTTGGTACGGGATGGCGGCTTCGAAGCGGAGACAAAAAGACCAAGATAGATGAAAGTGTAGAATTTTGTTGTTGAGAATTTTTTTTTTAAAGAACAAGATTCGTATCTCAGAATTTGAATATAGCATCTCGTTTTCTTTAGACAAATTGTTAGCTATTACTGGCTATAATAATTACCCCCCTTATAAATATTCGCAAAACATGAAGTTAATGATCAATGAATATGAAAACACTTAATAAAGTATAAATATTGGTAAACGGACAGCAAGTCATAGGACTATTATAGTTCGAATAAATTAGTTTACAATAACTGTTGAAAGGTTATGAGAGAAAAATCTGGATGAATTTATTTTTATTAGAATGATTTATTTTACAGTAAAGGCTTCATATTTTTAATCAGTTATTTGTAAAAGAAAGGTGACATGTTTAACACCATGGATCCAGTAAATTAACAAACTACTATGATGGATTTTTCTTTACAATCATTGATCATTGTTAATATTTAAGAATAACTTTTGTTTACAAATTCGTTTTAATAAATAATGGTTCAAGAAATTTTTTTTTGAAAATTAGTCTGTTAGTTTCCAAAGAAAAAAATATCTTAAAAACTGAACTGTGAGTTTTCAATCGTTACGTTTTGTTATACTTTTTTACTGTTAATCTCAGCAAAGACAAATTTGGTGATCAAAATCGATTTGTTGGTCTTTCGTAAAATTAAAAAAAAACATACGCCATAATGTAATCTTATAAAAAAAGGGGGGGGGGGGCGATTGGAAGAAATTCAATATTGATCCTTCAAGGGACAAGTGAACGTGGGAGATATTCATTCCCTACTGTAAAATATTGAGTTTTTGGTTGATTAATGTCGGGTGTGTCTGACGTACCGAATAATATATGATAGGTACATGTAGGTCTTGTAATTGAGACCGCCCGTGATACGGTCGGAAAATTTCGACTGCCTATGAAAAAGGAGGGACAGAAAATTGGCCTTATACCAGGCTACTTACAGTCCACTCGAAGAGTTGTTGCAAGAATTCAACGTCCCCATTCGGACGTGGCTGAGCACAGCCCACTGGACGTTCCACTTTAATTACAGCTAAGGTTTTCACATGATTGCCGGTCAGAAGAAGACCTGAAACGACGCTATTTCTATAGTTACTCTAGTTCGCTAACGAATTCGCTTCTTGTTCCATTGAATATAAAGGAAAGAGTTATCTAATATATATATATTTCAAAATTCAAGAGTCAATCCCAAATTGAGTTAAATTATATGGCCTTCCAAATACCGTTTCGATTCCTAACATCACTGAAGAGACATTTATTGTCGAAATCCGGATATGGTGTACAAATTGTTGCACCTTATGTTTGCGGTATACCATCTTTTCCGCAAGTTTATTGTTTTCTGTTTGGTATATTATTAATAAATTAAGATCCATTTTTACATCTGGTGATCTGTTTATTTGGCAATCGCCATGACAGTCAGCAGGGTTTAAGAACATCCGTTGTTCGACCTGCTAGTCAAATGCGTTTTGTTAAAATATACTTTTTCACTTTTTTGGTCTTTTGGAAAATGTTGTTTGTGCTGTATTTAGACCACTCTACCAAGAAATTTGTTTTGCATGCACACGTATAAAAATTGCGGTTTTTATCCAACGCAATCATAGGTTTGAACGTTGTTTTCAATTTAGACTTGTTTATATATATATATATATATATTTTTTTTTTCTTGAACAACTATAAATAAAGTAGTTCATTTTAAAATGTATTGTTTAAAGGTTAAGAAAACAATAAGTTAAAGTGGCTGGTACATACATGACTTCATGGCTAATACCAAAAAGGTATAGCCAATTTCCCGTCAGTTATTTTTTTTATTTTTGGTTCACATGTTCAAATTTAATAAATTGATAAATTCAATAATTTATTGATATCCTAAATCCTTGTTCATATATTTACTTCGGTAAAAAAGAAAGTTAATCTTCTCATCTGGACTTTAATCTGTATATCTATTACCTATTTTGGGATTGAAAAAAAATATCTTTAAAAAATGCGGTTTCGAGCCTATTTCTTCATTTTAATTTGTTTACACGTTCAGCAATAACTGATACAAATATGATATATTACCAATGATAAGGCCATATATTTGAAGCTGTTCAAAATTTTGTACATTATAGGTATGTGTATCAGATCGGACATTTTTTTTAATTGCTCTATATAAATAATCGTACTATAAGTTATCTCAGGTCTAAACAAAATGTTGCTATGAGTGTTCTAATGAGTTTTGTTTGATAATTTTTTGTTTAATTCAGTTAAAAGTTTGGGGTTTTTTTACACGAGAAGGTCTGCTAAAAAGTTTATGATGAGCATAACAAACGGGTACTCTTTAATGTACACCAGGTGGAATTCCTCTGTTCCGATGAAGGCAGTGCACGTCTTTCATTTAAAAGATTAAATCGTAGTTTTGCAACAGACGGCGCACATCGGGCATTGACATACCATTTTATAATTTGTAACAATTATGATTTACCATATATTTATGAGTTATAACAAAATTATGTTTTGTACATCTTTATTTAAGATGATCGAGATTTGAGAATGATATGAAAATAAAAAAATATATATTACAAAAAAAAGTTTATCTCAGGTCTAGTTATCTAGTATGAAATATATCCACTGGAAATAAGCCCTTTAAAACACAAATCTCCGTTTACTCATTGCGAAGTTTATTTGCTAGTGTTTTTTTAATGATTTTATTATATCTTTTTTTGTGAAAATTTTGAGTGGTTGAACATGAAATGGACACCGATGCTACAAAGAAAATTTGTTTAATGTCATCTGTTGCAATATATACTAAGTATTACACATGGACAGGATGTTCCTCAGAAAATTAAGGTATTCAAAATAAGTTATACACACCCCAAGGGTACACGCCACAGTTATATGGAAAATTACTGGGTCGCCAGTAAACTGGTAATCAGCCATGCAACTAATCAGTTGACTGGCCATGCCACTACAATTTAAAAAGTTTGTCGTTAGATCAAAACGAAATATTTATTTTAATTTAAAATTGAAGAACTAAAAGGATTTATCGTAATTATGAAGGGAAATAATTCAACAAAATAGGATTATATTTTTTTTTTAAATTTTCCGGGGAAAATAGAAAACTGTATATATAAAGGTCCCATCAAGGATTTTATAGAAATCTTTGGTCTCATGAAATGGATCTCACACAGACATGCATAATTCAAATTTATACATTTATTGATTCTATGATTTCTTGAGAAATCAGGAGCGAAATATAACAAATATTTAGTTTTGATATTAAATTAAATTTACCTTTCCTCGCTATAATTCATTTGACATAACATTGAGGGATTTAAGGGTTTGTCCGTACAACGTGTTTGTCATCAGTATTTCACATGACTTGTTGTTTTCACGCTTCGCCTTGGAGCTCATTATTCAGACTGTTTCAGACAAGATGATGAAAATAACGTGCAAGGCACTTTTTTCGATTATCGTGAAGTGCACTCTCCTCCCTCTTTAAGAAGAATGCAGGACAGAAAGTCACAGGACAAAAAGTCACGGACGAAAAGTCACAGGACAAAAAGTCACAATTCAGTTTTGAGATTATTTTTCTCTGAACAAGAAAACACTAATTTTAAAAATAAATTTTTGATTTTTTCTTGAACTATAATATATGAAGCAACATTGTAATAAAATTTATACAATAAATATCAATGATGATCAAATAATTGTTATGATAACAAAATGTCAAAGTGGTTTGGCACTTAAATGGCTGCATGGTTCCAAAAAATATATCATTTGCATGATTAAAATTTAATAATTTTTCATTTATCAAGGCTTATGAACAATTTCCTAAACTTAAAAATGAATAAATGTAGAAAAAAGAAATTATTTGAAGATCTTTCTCTTATATATTCAAACAATTGTCAACAAATTATTTGTGACTTTTTGTCCTGTGACTTTTTGTCCTATCCAATTTGTGACTTTATGTCCTGTGACTTTTGTCCTGTGACTTTCTGTCCGTTTACCTTCAAGAATTGTATATTTATAAATCCTCGTCCTTTTTAAAATTACCACACTCTTTGTGATTACCGTTATGCTATTATGCTAACAGTAACCCGGGACTTGATTTACATGTAACATCAGGGGCGATTCCAGCCAGGATAAAGGGGGTCCAAATATATGTCTCCATTAAATGCATTGATCGTTCACCAAAAGAGGAGTCAAACCCCCGGATCCCATCCTCCTTCGATCCGCCACTGATTGTGAATATAAATATAATTGTTACTTATTAGTCATAGACTAGTACTAGCTCCGAGCACCTGTTTTGGGATATATTCAGCTAATTAACCGTAAATAACTGCCAGATAATGAATAACAAGTTGATTCTCTGCTAATTAATGTAACCTGCAATTCACCCTGATTCATTTGTGAGACCACCGACACTAATAATATTACCTCAAAGTTAGCAGGTTAGAGGTTCTCCGTTACTTGGAACTTCATATCGGATCCGATCAATTTATTGGTTCCTTTCCCCCTAGTATTCATGATCCATTTGCAGTGACGATGACAATCATAGGTATACTCATTACTGTTGATTTTGCATGATAACATACATGTTTAATATGTCAACTCACTTCTACTTCCTACGGCGTCAGAGAGAGAAAAAAAAGCCTTGCAATGCGTCATTATTATTTGGACTACTTCCATATCACTTTAAAAAAAAAAAAACAATAATTTATTTCACTGACTGAGATTGGGCTGACGAGACATTTCAGCATGTGAAATCTTAACTGTTATTCCAAGTACATAGTTATTATCCATTGATTTTCATTTTTTACAAAAAGATTCCTTAGTGTGGACCATGTATTACTTCAAAATTTATTTATTTATATTTTTTATGCATAAAAAGTAAATTAACTTAATTGTACAATGAAGTAGGGGGATGAAATTATTTTATTTTTAGTTTGAGAATCACTCATACTTCTTGTATGATGTCACCTTAGCCTACAAATTACCAAAAAGAAACACATTTTTATTTCTTCTAGCTTATGCATTGTTATGTGTATGCCTTTTCATATACATGTAAAAATGTGTTACTGCCTATATTGACCTTAAATGTTATTCAGTCTTGCATGGCCTAATGGGACCTTGTTCTACTCATGTGGTATGCTATAAGCAGATAAGTATCTTTCTTTCCTTTTGAAATACAAATATCTTTATAAATATACATGAAGAATTTTTATATTAGCCTCCTCCCCCCCCCCCCCTCTTAATTTGAAAAAATTAACACCCAAAGTTCAAATATAAGAATGAACTTATAGTCTTTAATGTATATATGCTATTGCCACGAAACTAGGTAAACTGTCTTATAATTCAATAATCTTAGTTCATGCCAAGTTTGATTAAAATTAGTATTTCTACTCTGACTACATGCTCTATTAGGTCTATAGTGTGGATAGTGTATAACTTGCAAATTATTTTCATACTCCTTCCAAATTACATTGGAAAAAATGTGGCAATTTTTTTTAGGTTAAGGATGTTCGCTCCTCTTGATTTTGAATTTTTACCAGATATTCGGAATCCTCTGGTTTTATCCATGCAGTGCCATTAAAAAATTTTGCCCCCGCAAATCCCTACTTTTCTCTTCATATTTTTATAACATAGTTTAAAAAGCCATATTTGAAAATCTTATAAAATCCTTGTTTTTTTCCATAGCTTTTGAAAGAAAAAGGTGCCAGTGTTAAGTGTATGAAAAGTCTAGAGAGAATCACTTCCCGCCAAATTTTTAATGGCTTATATCTTAAAAACAAGCACATGGACCCTTCATTTTTCTGTTTTTTTAGTTCCTTTATTCATATACTTTCAATTTATAAAAATTTTAAAAAGCTTGTTATTTTGAAACAGAGTAGCGAACATCCTTAAATAGTGATTTGGTAATGTATAGTTTGAAAAGGTCAAATATTAGTATACTGAAGTTGTCAATCTAAATTATAGACCCTTTAAACATAAAATTGTCAGTTTTTGGCTTATATCTCAAACACTAAAGCATTTAGAGCAAATCTTCTGTGAGGTAAAATTGTTTATTATTTCAAGTTCTATCAGTCATTAAATTTTCAGATGAATCTAACAATCCATTGTTGGGTTGCTGCCACTAGATTGGTAATTTTAAGGAAACTTTGCAGTATTTATAGGACCGCAAACAAATTTTGCGGTCAAAATATTGGTATGACGTTGGCGTCGTCGTCGTCCAAAGACACATTGGTTTTCGCACTCTAACTTTAGTTTAAGTGAATGGATCTCTATGAAATTTTACCTTAAGGTTCAATACCACAAAAGGAAGGTTGGGATTGATTTTGGAAGATATGGTACCAACAGTTAAGGAATAAGGGGCAAAAAATAAGCATTTTTGTAACTTCCAGACGTAACTTGTGTGTTAGTGTATGGATCTCTCTGACATTGTACCACAAGGTTCCATATCACAAAGGGAATGCTGGGATTGATTTTGGGGGTAATTGCCTCAAAATTTTAGGAATTGGGGGCCAAAAAAGGGGCAAAAAAGAAGTATTTTTCTAGTTTCATGACAATAACTTGTGTGTAAGTGTATGGATCTTTCTGAAATTGTACTACAAGGTTCCATATCACAAAGGGAAAGCTGGAATTGATTTTGGGGGTAATTGCCCACAATGTTTAGGAATAAGGGGCCAAAAATAAGCATTTTTCTAGTTTCCAGACAATAACTTGTATTCAAGTGTATGGATCTCTCTGAAATTGTACTGCAAGGTACCATACCACAAAGGGAAAGCTGGGATTGATTTTGGGGGTAATTGCCTCAAAATTTTAGGAATTAGGGGCAAAAAGGGACAAAAACAAGCATTTTTCTAGTTTTAGGACAATTACTTGTGTGTAAGTGTATGGATCTTTATGAAATTGTACTACATGTACTACTTGGTTCCATATCACAAAGGGAAAGCTGGGATTGAGTTTGGGGGTAATTGCCCTAAACGTTTAGGAATTTGGGGCCAAAAAACAAGCATTTTTCTAGTTTCCAGACAATAACTTGTGTTCAAGTGTATGGATCTCTCTAAAATTGTACAGCAAGCTACCATACCACATAGGGAAGGCTGGGATTGAGTTTGGGGTTGATGAATCATAAGGGGGTTCAAAACATTTTTGGGGGGATTTTTTTTTCCTTTTTTTCCTTTTGTTTTCTTTAAAATTTGGTTATTTCTGAATGATTTATATATAAAAGCAAATAATAATGATATGGTTTGAATAGGTAAATTAGAAATTTTTAAGTTCTTAGATCCCATTCATTTTGTGAGCCTCTTGTTTTAATTGCTTCTGTAAGTAATATATTAATTTGAAATTTTGACGACAGACACATACAGATTATACCGTTAACAATATTTCAGAGTTTAATGTTGTCATGCACACTCATCATAGAAGAATATTTAATCACGTCATTGTTGTCCATTGAAAAATTAGTATGAACACGATGAAAAAGTACGGGAATGTTTGTTTGTTAAACTATTGACCGTGGTTATGTCTTTGAAACTGTTGACTGGCAAATAGTCTGTGAAATGAAATAGCACAAATATTTCATTCCTTTTTTATATATCATGGTATATAGAAAAACACATACTGATGTACAATAATAGTTATAGGCATTAAATTATAGTTTTTACCTTTTTTAAGTTTAGGGCAAGAAATATAGAAGATAAAGAAAAATATAAACAATTACAACTGTACAGTAGAAATGATCGGCAAAACAACATAAACAAAAGACAACAAGGCCTAAATGGTAAGACCACTTCTATATAATAAAAGTGATTGCCCTTGAATGATGACTATTATAAAAATAAGAAGATGTGGTATGCGAGTTATCTATCCACCAGAGTTCAAAGAAGTGGATGCAAGCAATTAAAGACCAATGACGGCCTTCGATAATGAGAAAACCCATACCTTATAAGTCAGCCAATAAAGACCCCAACATGAAAAGATTTAAACAATCCAAATTAGTTCAAAGCCAATAACAATTAATAAAAAAATCATGTCTGTGAGCACTCCACCTTACCATAATCTAGGACAGTGGTTCAAATAGCACATCATATGAACAAACTGTAAAAACTGTTGCAAGTGGCTCAACTCATTATCACTGCAAGGCACTAAAACAACTGATATTAAGTCGTGGACACAAAGCACTGAAATAACAGAACTCATAATCATGATTAGTAAGAATATCAAATTTAAGTTTCTCAAAATGTTCATATTAAACATGATAAAATAAGCTTATTTCATATTGCTGTTTTTTTTCTCAATTTTTTTGTGTATTTATACATGTAGGTGAGACTTCTTGGTTTTCATGATCATCAACAGGTCAATACAGAAGAGGAAACTTAAGGTTAATACTTTTCTACATTGTGTGCTAATTGGATTAATGTGAAATGAAATGTGTACTTACCTGGAAAAAGAAAATAGGAAATTTCTACAAAATGGCTGTAAACAAAATGGAGTAAAATCATAGATGCACAAGAACACAATTGTGTAATTGCAACAACCTACATATTCACTGAAGGATTATGGAGAAATGTAGAAAAAATAGTATTTTGTTGTCGAAATAAACACCTGCTTTATCCATTCATGTACAAAGCTCTGTCATATCAAATATACAGAGGAAGACGTTTGAGAACAAATTGCAAAAATGTATTCTCTACCAATTGAAGGAAGATGTCTGGTGGATGTAATTATTTATTCACTGAACTGTTATGTAGGGGATTGAATAATTGTACGCAGCAGCCTAAACAGAAGAAAAGTTAAATTAACATGAAAAGTGGTTATTTTTTTTAATCTGCAAATATGAGCACAATATTAATTACATCACAAATAGTATGATATTCATAGCGTTTTGCTTGTTATTGTATTGTCTCAAACAGCTAGCCTATTGTTTTGTATGTCATGTTACTCATCAGTGAACATTTTATTAAAGTTTTAATTATCTTTTGTATCAATTATTCAGTCTCATAAAAATTATATTCATACTGTTTTTACTGTTTTGAAATTTTCATAGAGGAAAATTGAATAACAGAAATTTCCATAGAGGAAATTTGGAGAACAATGTTTTCCTTAGAGGAAATTTGTGGTCTTGAATTTTCCCTCAAGGAAAACTGTCTGTCAAAAATTTCCTCACAGGAAATAGCTGTTGACAAAATTTCCTCACAGGAAAAAGTATTTCCTCAAAGGAAAATTTGAAGCCGCAAATTTCCTCACAGGAAAAAGTATTTCCTCAGAGGAAAATTTGAAGCCTCAAATTTCCTTGGAGGAAATAGAATTTCCTCAAAGGAAAATTTGAAGCCGCAAATTTCCTCACAGGAAATAGAATTTCCTCAAAGGAAATATTAATGCAGCAAATTCCCTAAGGGAAATCTTTTTCCTTTGAGGAAAATACAATTTCCCTTGAGGAAAAATCTTTTTCCTTTAGGGAAATTTGATTTCCCTTGAGGAAAACTACTTTTCCTCTGAGGAAATTGTTGAAAAAAGGGGCATAACTTTTTCAACAGTGGTACTAGAGCCAAAATTTTTTAGGACAAATATCAGGGAACCAATACCAACCAAGTTATCAACTTCATTTTGACTTAACTCCAAAAATTAAGGTGACAACTTTTGCACTCAGCGGAAGTGCAAACTTGTCCCGGAGACTGTTCTTGGTCCGTCTATGTGAAATAATCTAAGTTTCATCAGGTACTCACGCGGAGAAATAAAATATTGAAGTGATTTGAGTACCGATAAATTAAATGTCTCCTTGGTAGCTGGTATCCCTTGAGGGATTAATAAATTGAACTCAGGCCATAAAAGGAATATGTTTGTTTGCCCTAACCCTACCTATCCAGAAAATAGCTGCCTACTCAAAATCTTTTATTGCCCTGATTTGAAAAGTTTTTTTTAAATCAGATAGTCCTGTATACTAAAACATATCTGATACTTCAACTTCTCTTTGCCGAAAAAAGAAAGAAAATGCCTGCCTACCTACCTACCTACCTACCCACTGTCTCTACCTTTGGGTAGGGTTTGGGCAAACTAAAATATTTTTTTAGTGTGGCCTCATGTGTGTCGGAATAGGTATAATAAATATATTCCATTTTACAGTATTTTACAGTTTTTATGATTATTAATCAACTTATGGTACGGTAATAACTTTTATTTTTGTTTTGTTTTTATTTTTCTTTTGTGTCAATTTCAATTTGTCCTCGTTCTGTGAACAAAATAACACGGCTACACATTTTAAAAGACAAAACACAATTATAATTCGATCAACACTTTGACTTATTATACTAACTTAGCATAAAAAAACCCAGATAAACGAGATGCATGCTCCTTAAAATCATTTCAGATATTCTATAGAATTTTTAATTCACCAGTAAATCAGAAAATTATGTCCATCTTCAACATTTCTTTTTTCATTTGATGTGTGTTATATCATTTTAAATATCTTACAATGCACATAAAAAAAGACTAGGTTTTTGCGATGTCCAATATTACGTGCGATGATGCGTAGCTGCATGGTAGATACTACATGAATTACATCATTTTGATTATCTTTGAAATCACTCACACGTGGCGGTGTACACATAACACACAATATATGACTTTAAATACCTGGGGCAATTTATACTTCCGTTTATTGTCCCTTTAACTAGCCAGTGTATCTGTGTATAATGTATTTACCGACCGTGCAAGGGCTGTATAGCCAGTCAAGGTCGTTGAAACCTCCATTTGTTATGATGTATCTCTGGCTCCATTGATAGACTCCCATAATATAGTCGAGTGCGGATCCCGGATTTTGAAAAAAATGTTGGAGGACGAAAAGACAACATTAGAAATGGGACTAATGTATGAAGTTTATGTTATGCATATACCATTGAAGCAGCCTCGATGATAAATTGTCATCTAAGACGGTATAAATTAAAATTCTGTATGACATGTCACGAAGAGGAGTTGAGATATATGCGACATATTTTATTACATGTCCTCACAAAGGTGGTCTATTTCACATGTTTTCGGACATTAAATCTATTTCTTGTGTGACAGTTTGCTGACTGTTAATGTTCATCATAACCTTTTCGCAAATAGGGCCGTATTTACACTACAAATTTCACTCTGAGTACAGACAAACCTGTGCATCTTGAAAAGTTTTAGAGTATTGGGTGGGTGGGTAGGACCTTTATCGGGACTCCGGGATCGGGTGTTTTTAAGCTCGGGATTGATCCTTTCGGGATCCGGGAATTCTTTTTTCGAATTTCGGGATGTCGGGATTTACATTTTTTTAAATTCGGGACCTCGGGATTGTCCATGTTTTTAAGCCCGGGATTTCGGGATCAGGACCCCTCCTACCCCCCTCAGTATGGCAGGACCTAGATAAATAAAATTTAAATGCATTTTAAGTTTCAGAATATTGAAAACTTTACTAGATTTTGCTATTCATTTTTTTTCGTTCCTGCAGAAGGTGCCAAAATAAACTAAGGTGGAGAGAATCGGAGACGTTAAGGGCTTGAATAATTCGAGTTAGGTCATTACATGGTCCGAGGACAAAGTTATCGTTCTTTGGTTTTTGTTTACCTAGAGTCGTGGTGTGAACAGTGTGTAACTAGCATTTTTTTTTTTTATAATACACTTTCCCAATTTATTTCTTGATATCTAATGCATGAAATTTTATGTAAGTGGATGAAATTACATATTAAAAAAAAATGGGTGCTGAATCTTTATGTTAAGTAGTGATTTGGTCCAGTTAAAAAAGGTCAAATATTAGTACGTCTGAAGCTGTCTAACTGAATTTGAGACCCCCTTAACACAGAATTGTCAATAATATGAGTTATCTAGAGCGTTAATACGTTCCAATTGACTTGGAAAGAGCCGATTTTTAAATGGAATTGATTAATTTAAAAGGCTTGGGCAAATAACATTTGAGAACGTAACTTTATAGCAAGGAACTATAGCGTATGCAGATTTTCTTTGAACACATACGAGGGTCTTGAATATTGGGGGAAAGGGGTGTCTTTCAATCCTGTTTGTCTTTTAATTTGTAAGTCATTTTTTCTCTATTCTTCAAATTTTTCTCTATTCCTTATTTTCTTGGCGTCTATTTTCTTCACTTTATTTGGCCCTTTGTTGTGCACTTTTTGTCCATTTATATTCTCTATTCTTCTATAAATCCTACCCAGACCCTCATAAACATACACAATCAATATGTTCCGCTCCTAACCCCAGTTGACATGGATATAGACAATTGTCATCCATGGGGTTTTTCTCATCTGTTGTGATGATATAACATTGCTAAACGAGTCCGTTATAAAAAAGATGTGGTAAGATTGGCAATGAGACAACTCTCCACAAGAGACCAAATGACACAGAAATTAACAACTATAGGTCACCGTACGGCCTTCAACAATGAGCATAGCATATACCGCATAGCCAGCTATAAAAGGACAAAATACTAGGAGTCCATTACTTCTGATATTACATATAGATATATGATTAATGTATAAATACGCAATCACGTATACGTCCGATGCTAAATTGTTGGCTTTGTTGGAAGGCAAAATATTTAGCCCTATACTGACTGGAACTAGTATATACAACTGAAAACTAGATAAATAATGAAAATCAAGGAATCAATACATGCTATAACAGCAAATCTGAACGAAACCAAAACGCATATTTGTAAAATTATAAATATACAACTTGCATTTCAGCAACTGTTTTGTTAGTAATTATTTAAGATGCAATTCGTGAATAAATTATCCTACACAGTGGAACAAATGTGAAGTCAAAATACGTTAATTTCTGGATTAATACTTCTGCAAAGACGATGTCATTATATTGTTTCAATAAACCGACTTAAATAAAAATCAAATTATAACTTTGTAATGATTATAAATGTTTACCTTTTGAAATAAATTTTGATATATTGAATATAGATACAGAAAAAATGAACTCAAATGTTTTATTTGCATGTATTGTATGACGTATTTAATAACATCTATGTGTAAAGAAAGTTTTTAACGTTTGAATTGCCCGATCTTTTTGTAAAGCATGCTATTTTGACGATTACGAATTCAGACTCTGACACTAAGAAAAATCTTATTAGAGTAAAAAAAAAATTCTGATCGGCCGTATATAAACCTCCCATCACTATATCACATATCAATTTAAAAAAAATCGCAACGATGTCAAAATAGAAAGGCTGACCAAAATGTTCAACTTGCGGCTAATGATTGACAGGTATGATTAGACCTTGAGGCTCTTGTGGGGAACGTGGTGTCTAAAGTAAAAAGAAGATTACTCAATTATTTATTTTAGGACTCGTACGATATGTCGATCTGATATGGAAAATTGTGAGTTTCTTTTAATAGCACAAAGAAATAAGACGATAGAAGGGTAACAATTTTGTAACCATAAACGAATGACTCGTATATATAATTTACGGGACTGATTGTATCGAAAGTTTGATGAAAACATTCGATTTCAAACCTTCTTGGTTGGAATGAACATGTTCGATGTATATGCAAATAGGTCTTTATTATATAATGTATTTAAATTATCTTCATCAAATACAATACAATATATAACATGTATCTATGATATCCTCCATAAAGAGTAAATATCTGTACAGGTAAAATTTAATTCTGATCAATCGGGTACAGATTGAATTATTTACGACCTTCCACTTGTATTGTACAAGGAATATCACAGCAGGTGTTAATTACACTAGGACAAGTGTCAAATCAGTATGACATCTTGCCGGATAACTGCATCTTCAGTAAAAAGACTCTATTAGTACAGGAACTGATTTCTTTTCTAAACATGACAATAAAGAAGAATTTTATAAGGTGAGAATATTTGTAGTTGTGTATTGCAAAGTTACCACGTGTATTCATCCTGTTCATTGGTCACATTAAAATAGATTTTTCTTTATTGAACAATTACCAAATTCGATATTTAAA